AGAATTTTCATGCACCCAGAAAATAAACAGGATCTACTCATTGGTTTTCCATTGTAAGAATGAAAGCTGTTAAAAGTACTGTCCTGTCCATGTCTCTTATAATTTGCAAGGAAAATGGAGGGTTTTTGTTTGTTTTTCTGTTGTAAATGTTATCTGTAAGCTCTGAAGTGATTATCACTGAGAAACAAATAGCCTTTCTTAATAAGATATGGTGATTTTTAACTCTTATTAAATGGTTTTTAAAATCATTAAACAGTTTATTTAATATGCATTTTTAAAAGGGAATCATTTAAATTTCATATTCTTTTTGACAATTTCATGACATTGCTTTGAAAATGTCCTTGCAATTTAGGGATCTTTAAAAAATACTTTAAAAATGTAGCACTAGACATCAAGCTCTGAATTTCAAGAACAAGTTAAATTCTAGTGATGAGCATCTCACTTTCCATGTTGATGGAAAATGAGTGTCAGAGGGAGAGCACAAGGAAGGAGAACACAGAGTCCATAACTTTAATACTTTTGTGTATTTTTTATCATGAATTGTGGGATGAAAGGTTAAAAATCTTTGTCACATGAAGGTTTAGAAGGTCTACTTGTGTATATGAATTGTGACCTCTCAATACTAAATATGTGACATTTAACAATATTTATGTATTCAGCATTTATGTATACTACAGAGGTCCTGTCTCTGGAGTATAGAAAATAATTTTACAACGTAAGCTTTAGATGTAAATACTTGAATATATGCAGTTAGACACCGAGCTCAGGGGCTGTGTTCTATTTTGTGAAGAAAGTGCAGTCGCAGTAATTGATTGGGGCATTTTACATGAAGTTCTCCCTAATGAAGAAATATGAGGATATTAATATCTGGTTTTTACTAGAAAAGTTATTTTTCTCCTGAATTTATAGATTTTCGGAAATCTATGCTAAAGATATTTAAGCTTTGGACCTGGGGCTCTTTTCCCTAAAGGCTGAACTAAGTAAACACTCTTTGTTTTCTCTTTTAAGATGTATTTTAGGAATCCTAAATTACTGTGGGTTCAAGTAGTGTGGTTACCTTCCTAAATACCAAAGTGTAGGCCTTGGCCAAGGTGGTCTTCGGCATTTGGTTTTCATAAGTGTGAAGTCCAGGTGATAATGTCCTTTTAGATGAAATCGTGTTTGTATCTTTCCTCCCTCCCTTCCTCAGTGGCTGCTTCCTGTTTCCTGTCAATTCCCTTCCACCTGTGCCTTTCAAGTCTTGGGGGCAACAGGACTCCGTTCTTGGTTTCCTTCCTCCCGTCTCTGCTGTCTTCCTGGGTGATCTTCCTCAGTGCTGCGATTTTAAATACCGTCTTTTATATTCTGACAACTCGCAAATTCACATTCCCAGGCTGGACTACCAGGTATCTGACTGCCCACTCAGAAAGTTTCCTTGGATAAGCAACAGGTATTTCCAGCATGCCCTGTCCAGGACTGAACTCCTGATCTCCCTTCCAAAAACCTGTTCCTCCTTGTCTTCCCTCTCTCACTTCTCTCTGCTCAGTCTGCAGCCCTTAGAATCTTCTTTGATACGACTCTGTTTCTCTCTCCACGCTCCCTCCAGTGTATCAGCAAATCCTGAAATGTATCCAGAGTCTGACACCCTGTCCCCACCTCCATCATTCCCAGGGTTGGTCTGAACCGCTAAAATACCAGAGTGACCCTGTTTCACTTTGAGTTAGATGATGTCACTCTTCTGTTCAAAATCCTCTGGTGGTTTCTCATTTGATTTATTGTCTCCATAGTCCAAAATAAATAAGTAAATAAAATGTCCCTTTATCCGTGAGTCCATACTGATCATACAAAAATGATTGGATGAATACATAAATGGGGATAATAGACAAATCAGGCTTATATAAGACTATAACTATTTGTGCTAGCGTAACTCTCCACCCCTTAAGTGTAGGCTGCATGTAGTGACTTCCTTGTGAGGAGCACAGTACAGGGGAAAGGAGGAGTGATGTTGCACTGTGGAGCATTCTGACAGACACAGCATTAGTCGAGTGAAAAAGGTCAGCGTCAACACTGGTAAGTCCTGTTGAGTCTGTCCCTTGATACGGCGTGATGCACATGGCACTCTGTGGTCTTCCGTAAAACACAACCCAGTCTAATCATGAGTAAGACATCAAGCTCCACATCTCAAAACGGTCAAGTTCATTAAAAACAAGGAAAATCTGGGAAACGTTCTATAGGAGCCTCAGGAGACATGACCACCACGTGCAGCGTGATATCTTGCATGGGATTTGGGGCCAAAAGAGAATCTTAGGTCAACTCCAAGGGATTAATCTGAATAAAGTGTGGACTTTAATTAATTATGCACATTAATATAGGTTCATTAGTTTTGATACATATATTGTGCCAGTGTGAGATGTTAACCGTAGGGGAACTGTCTGTAGCTTTTCTGTAAATCTAAAATCATTCTTAAATTTAAAAAGTTGATTTTAAAAAAAGAAGTCTCCGTGATGCATTCTTTCCTGGTGCACATTCATCCACCCTGCTCTCGCGCCTCTGCTGGCTCCAGCTGTGTGGGTCTCTTTCTTGTTTCTTTAGCCTAGTTCTTCTCTACTAGGGCTGACTTGGAGCCCTAGAGGACATAGGGCAGCGTCTCTGGGCATTCCAATTGTCACAACTGGGGAGGAGGAGAAGGAAGCTACTGGTTTTGAATGAGTGGAGACTGGGAACATGTCCCAAATTGATGACCTACCCCAGCTGTCAACGTGCTGAGGTCAAGAGCCCTGGACTCTTGAGTTTGGGTCCCTCTCTTTTCCTTCAGGTTCCTCTTACTCTGCTTTATTTTTCTGCTTAGCGCTTAATCACCAGCATCTGATATCTCTGTTGTTTATCTGTCTCTCACCAGGAAATGTATCTTACATCAGAACTTGCTGGTGATTTGGATAACTTTTGAATCCTGGCATCTAGAACTGCACCTGCGAATTGTAGGTGTCCATTACATATTTGTTGAAGGTATTAAATAGTGAATGAAAGGGGTGATTTATCTACCCCTTCTCTCTTTTAAACGAACACGAATGGTATCCACTTAGTTTTTCCAGTTAATTTGTCTGAGCATCTTTACATACTAACATATAGAGTACTGTCTTCTTTTTAATGACTGCATAATATTTTATATGCAGAATTAAGCAAATATTTTAAGTGCTTGCAATAGGATCCTAGTATAATGCTTTGTTAAAATGGATAATAGCAATAATGTCTCCTAAAACATATCTGCTGAAACAAAAGACAGTGCTTGTTAAACATCATGTTTTAAAATGTTCTTTAAAGCGCTTTTTAATACATTTTTAAATTTAATACATTTTTAAGTTTGTAATACTGTTTAACTCCATGCAAGGTGCTGTCTAATAGCAGGTTGTCCATATCTGTAGGTTGAATTGAACTTTTCATTTGTTCTGATAAAATGACTTAATCATTTCATAATCCAATTTCCTTGAATATTAGAACTGTTGACCAAATTGAGATACTTAAAGAGATAGTTTTGGAGGAAAATTGTTTCCTTATTCTGCTTAAATTATAATTGTTCTGGAGGTCAAAAGTCTATATAATTTCTTGACTATCTGGAGGAGAAAGCCTGATAGCTAAAGAACAAGCTAGTGTGCCCAATTCGAACTTGATTCAGTATCAGTTTAAGCCTCTAACTGCTTTAATTAAGCATGTCAGCTCTTTTTTTCCCCCTAAGGAAAGGAGTAATAGGGCAAAGTTGGCAGTAGCTGAGGAGACTGTAAATTCATGTTGCCTTACAATTTCTACTGGGCTGTCACACCAACCCTTCAGTCAGCTTTCTTTCATTTCAGGTAGCATTCACATTTTTTAATATTAACCTGAGACTTTTTACAAGATTACGGTGCTGTCTTCTACTGACAGTGCTGGGGGCTTTTGTGAAACTGTATTGACTTACAAGGTGAGTTTTTGGGGGCCTAAATAGTTATCCTCTCCCCTAGTCAGACCATAGTCAGGGAACGTGTCCCATCCTCCCGTTTGTTAAAGTTCCTTTCTTCTCATGTCACCCTAACTATCCTTGGGGTCTGCCCCCTGCCACACTGATCTAATCCTATACATGCGTTAGCTTAGATGATTTAGCTTTTGAGTGTGTGTATCATTTCTTCTACTAGAGGGCCCCTGGACTACAGGTTCAGTGCCCTGAAATTGGTAGACACTCTCAGAGCAACTGGCTTTTGACAGCAGTGGTAATAAAAACAAAATTGATGTCGTTGGTGAGATTTACTTAATGTGACATCAGGCTGCTCAATTCTGGTTTACCTTTTGGAAGCTGCTTTTTTGGGGAGTGGGGGAGGCTTGTGTTGATGTTAAGTACCAAACTTGATGATGAAATTATTTTAATGACTTTAAATAGTTATATAGTGCTAAACTAGACAGTAAACCTTTACATTATGTCAGGAGTGCACATAGTCTTATAAAGAAACAATAAAATTTCAGGATAAATTTTGAAATGAGATTACAAGCTATCATTGTGGGAGGTCGTATAAAACCACTGTTCGTTTTTGGTTTTTTCCTAAATCAACTGTTAGAAGCATTTCATGCTCAAGATACTGTAGTTTCCCAGCCTTGAACATTTAATTTATTGTATCTAAGTGTAAACAATGTTTATTGTCAACAGTTGCTTATATTTGTCTTGATTTAAGTCTAAGAATACATTTAGTTGTTACAGTTAGCAGTCTTTTGATGCTTGTTACGATCCTTGAGTCATTCAGATATGAAATGTATGAACTTGAGTCATTCAAATATAAAAAAAGATTTTTGTTAAATTTAGCAATTTCTGGCATGTTAGACTAGAGCTCTGGTACTTATATTGGAAAGCAGAAAAAAATCCAAAATCACTGCATTTATTCATATTCCATGTAGATGGAAAATATTCTCTTAAAATGTGAGGTCTAAAACAACTCATACGCTTCTGCTTGTTTGATTTCCCCAAAGTGCTAATTCTTTTTTCTTTCTTCTGTGTCAGGTCCCTGAGAGTTGAGCGATGGGGAGACGTTTGGCCTTGATTCTGCTTCTGTTCCTCCTCCTCCTGCAGCATTTTGGAGATGGTGATGGGAGCCCAAGACTTGAACAGACGCCTCCTCTTCAGTTTACACATCTCCAGTACAATGTCACCGTGCATGAAAACTCTGCAGCTAAGACTTATGTCGGGCATCCGGTGAAAATGGGTATTTACATGACAAATCCATTGTGGGAATTAAGGTACAAAATAATCTCCGGAGACAACGAAAACCTGTTCAAAGCTGAAGAGTACATTCTTGGAGACTTCTGCTTTCTAAGAATAAGGACCAAAGGAGGAAATACAGCTATTCTTAATAGAGAAGTGAAAGACCATTACACACTGATAGTCAAAGCAGTTGAAAAGAATACTAATGCTGAGGCTCGAACAAAGGTCAAGGTGCAGGTGCTGGATACAAATGACTTGAGACCATTATTCTCACCCACCTCATATAGCGTTTCTTTACCTGAAAACACAGCCATAAGGACCAGTATTGCAAGAGTCAGTGCCACAGATGCAGACATAGGGACCAATGGAGAATTTTACTACAGTTTTAAAGACCGAACAGATATGTTTGCTATTCACCCAACCAGTGGTGCGATTGTGTTGACTGGTAGACTGGATTACGTAGAGACCAAGCTCTATGAGATTGAAATCCTTGCTGTGGACCGTGGAATGAAATTGTATGGGAGCAGTGGCATCAGCAGTATGGCCAAGCTCACGGTGCGTGTGGAACAGGCTAATGAGTGTGCACCTGTGATAACAGCAGTGACGTTGTCACCATCAGAACTAGACCGGGACCCAACGTATGCAATTGTGACGGTAGATGACTGTGACCAGGGTGCCAATGGGGAAATAGCGTCTTTAAGCATTGTGGCAGGTGACCTTCTTCAGCAGTTCAGAACAGTCAGGTCCTTTCCCGGGAGTAAAGAATATAAAGTCAAAGCCATTGGTGGCATTGATTGGGACAGTCATCCTTTTGGCTGCAATCTGACACTTCAGGCTAAAGATAAAGGATCTCCACCCCGGTTCTCTCCTGTAAAAGTAATTCATGTGACTTCTCCACAGTTCAAAGCTGGGCCAGTCAAGTTTGAAAAGGATGTTTACAGAGCAGAAATAAGTGAATTTGCTCCTCCCAACACACCTGTGGTCATGGTAAAAGCCATTCCTAGTCATTCCCACTTGAGGTATGTCTTTAAAAGTACACCTGGAAAAGCTAAATTCCACTTAAATTACAACACAGGTCTCATTTCCATTTTAGAACCAATTAAGAGACAGCAGGCATCCTATTTTGAACTTGAAGTAACGACAAGTGACAGAAAAGCCTCCACCAAGGTCTTGGTGAAAGTTTTAGGGGCAAACAGCAATGCCCCTGAATTTACCCAGACAACATACAAAGCATCTTTTGATGAGAACGTGCCCATTGGAACTACTGTCACAAGCGTGAGTGCGGTAGATCCTGATGAGGGGGAGAATGGATATGTGACATACAGTATTACAAATTTAAACCACGTGCCATTTGTAATTGACCACTTCACTGGGGCTGTGAGTACTTCAGAAAACCTGGACTATGAACTGATGCCTCGGGTTTATACCCTGCGGGTTCGTGCATCGGACTGGGGCTTGCCGTACCGCCGGGAAGTGGAAGTCCTTGCTACAATTACACTTAACAACTTGAATGACAACATACCCTTGTTCGAGAAAATAAATTGTGAAGGAACAATTCCCAGGGATCTAGGTGTGGGAGAGCAAATAACGACTGTCTCTGCTATTGATGCAGATGAACTTCAGTTGGTACAATATCAGATTGAAGCTGGCAATGAACTAGGTTTGTTTAGTTTAAACCCCAACTCTGGGGTGTTATCATTAAAGCAGTCGCTCATGGATGGCTTAGGTGCAAAGGTGTCTTTCCATAGTCTGAGAATTACAGCTACAGATGGGGAAAATGTTGCCACGCCTTTATATATCAACATAACCGTGGCTGCCGGCCGCAAGCTGGTCAACTTGCAGTGTGAAGAGACTGGTGTTGCCAAATTGCTGGCAGAGAGACTCCTGCAAGCAAACAAGTTACACAGTCAAGGAGAGATCGAGGATGTTTTCTTTGATTCTCACTCTGTCAATTCACATGCACCACAGTTTAGAAGTACTCTTCCATCCCGTATTGAGGTAAAGGAAAACCAGCCTGTGGGATCCAGTGTGATTTTCATGAATGCTACTGACCTTGACAGCAGCTTCAATGGAAAACTGGTGTATGCTATTTCTGGAGGAAATGAGGATGGTTGCTTCATCATTGACATGGAAACAGGAATGCTAAGAATTTTATCTCCACTTGACCGAGAGACAACAGACAAATATACTCTGAATATTACTGCATATGACCTTGGTCTACCCCAGAAGGCCGCTTGGCATCTTCTAGATGTAGTAGTTCTGGATGCCAATGACAATCCACCTGAGTTTTTGCAGGAGAGCTATTTTGTTGAAGTGAGTGAAGACAAGGAGTTGCATAGTGAAATCATCCAGGTTGAAGCCACGGATAAAGATCTAGGGCCCAATGGCCAGGTGACATACTCTCTTCTGACAGACACAGATCAGTTTTCAGTTGACAGTGTGACTGGTGTTGTTAAAATTATGCACCCTTTGGATCGAGAAGTGCAGCATGTGCACTACTTGAAGGTCGAAGCCAGGGATCAAGCCAGAGAAGAGCCCCAGTTGTTTTCCACAGTACTTCTGAAAGTATCACTAGACGATGTTAATGACAACCCACCGAAGTTTATTCCCTCTAATTACCATGTGAAAGTTCGAGAGGATCTTCCAGAAGGAACCATCGTCATGTGGCTAGAAGCATATGATCCCGACGTAGGTCAATCTAGTCAAGTGAGATTCAGCCTTATGGACCATGGAGAAGGAAACTTTGATGTGGACAAACTCAGTGGCGCAGTCAGAATTGTACAGCAGTTGGACTTTGAGAAGAAGCAAGTGTATAATCTCACTGTGAGGGCCAAGGACAAAGGGAAGCCAGTTTCTCTGTCTTCCACTTGCTTTGTTGAAGTTGAGGTGGTTGACGTGAATGAGAATTTGCACCCACCAGTGTTTTCCAGCTTCGTGGAGAAGGGCGTTGTGAAGGAAGATGTGCCTGTGGGTTCGTCAGTAATGACAGTGTCGGCTCAGGATGAGGACACAGGAAGAGATGGGGAGATCCGATATTCTATCAGAGATGGTTCTGGTGTTGGTGTTTTCAAGATAGACGAAGAAACAGGTACATATGTTTTCATCACTCTCCCTTGATGCTCGCGGCCATTTTTTTCGTATCTGCCCTGGGACAATCCCTTCGCAATTCCCACTTGATCTTTGTTAGGGCTTGGGGTAGACATGCAGGTGAGTAAGTTTATGTCTGATTGTGCTGTGTAGGTGTGTTTACGTGGAGTGAGCCATGAAGATGGAACCAGAGGGGTCTGAATGATCAAGTGGGCCTAAAATGAGTAAAAGGACAGGGAAAAAAGGACACTGATGTTCATCTCTAAGTTTGTACTTTGTATTGTCAGAAGCATTATTGTGGTTTTGTTCTAACTTTGAGAAGTCCTTCTAATGTTCTTCCAGCTAGTGTATTTGCAGACTCACACTTAGAATAACCACCATTACCATGTGGTGTGCCATTCAGCTTATCGCGTACCTGCAGTATGATGCCATACACACAGAGAAGATTATGTGCTAAAACTTCTATAATATGATCTTCTTAGTACCTCCTCGAATTTTTGTCAGAGAGGCAGATGTAGGATAAGGAAGTGTTGAGCTGAAAAAAATCTGGCTTGGAATCCTGGCTGTTATAGTTGTTAATTCATGATCTTGAACAAGTGAATTACTTCTTACAACTACCTTTTTTCATCTACAATATGGGGACACTCAAAAGAATTGTGAGGTTTATGTGAGGATAAAGTAAAATAACATGGGAAAGCTTCTAGCAGGTATTAGATCAGTTCATATCTTTTGGAAATGGCAGGAATGTTTTGTTATGATACTGTTTCTCCTAGAAGAAGCTTCTAAAACACCCACCTCCAGGTCAGCCCATGCATGCCAGAGAGTGTACTGTTTGCACTTTGTGCATACCTTACTCTTGCTGCAGAGATGTTGTCTTTCTGTGTGAGTCTCACTGAATGGACTGTGAGCCTCCAGGGCAAGCTGTTAGCTCATGCACTTTCCACCCTCAGCGCTTAGCAAAAGGTGTCGGGCATGTAGACGCTGTTCAATAAATGCTAAAAGAAGACATGGGTAAATTAATGAATATTTTGGCTTTGAATGTCCTGCCCTCTGAGAATGTTAGTGGAAATGGAAAGAAACTGCATTATCATAGCACTAATTAGCAGTAGGCGGGACTCAGTGTTTATTAATTTCATTGATATTTACTTTATAATTCTGTTCATTCTAAAAGGGACCAACTTTATTATATTGTGACTATATATTCAGTAACAACACACACACACACACACACACACAATAGCAACAATTATTCAGTCAACACCCACCCCGGTATCTATGCCCATGTGTTATACATGAAAAATACAACTTGTCTTAGAATCAAGTTATTTTGTCGACTGCAGTATTTTCATTGTGCTTTTTATTAGTTTAAGTGATTCTTTTTCTAAATGATTATATACCACATACATGTATTAGATGTATTATATATACAGATGTCACTCATTTAAAATATCCATAATTAATTTAAGAGAAAAAGCATTCATCAACAGCATCTACTCATCTTGAGTAGAATTCTTTTTCTGAGTCATACTATCCTATATAAAGTAGAATTTTCGAGTACAGTGTCAACATTAAAAAAAACCCGGAAGTTAATAACTGAAACTGACACCATGATTTGGTTTTTGTAAACTTTTCTAAGAACAATTATTCCTACTTTTTTTTTACTTTCCAAAGTAAATTTTAAAAGCCTATAAAGAACTGTTACAAGTTAAAATTGAGGCAGAAAATAGAGTCAAAATCTCAATTTACATCTCCCTTATGACTTTATACGAGCACTGCCTTTGGGTTTTTTCTCTCAAGGAAGAGTATTTTTATCATCAGTTTCTAAAGAGCCATTTAGAAACTTGTATTTTTCACCTATAAATTCAAGAAATCGGATATTTTTACTACCGAGAAAAGAAAAGGAGACAACTAACCAATCCAGGTGGTGTCCTGAAACAGATCAGTGGTGGATTTTAGAGCTGCAGGGTGGTGCCGGACTTCTCCAGTGGTGATTCAGTGTGAAGCTGTGCTGGGGCTGGGGTCATTGGCAGCGGAGTTAGTAAGTGTAAGACACTGTCATGCATTGGAGTACATACTGAGATTTAAACATGAGAGAGAAGCTGGAAATGTCCAGGTCGTTTATGCTGTGGTCCTTGCTTTACAGAGAAAACTAAGTGGTGTACAGCAGATTTATGTTGATATGCTTTTGGAAATTGAATAAAAGTGATAGAATAATATTTGTACATTTGACCTGGGGTGCATTACAAAGATCTGCTTTTGGCAGGCCAAGTCCCTTTTGAGATTCCTGGCAGGACGATTGATAACGTAGTGTAGAATTCCTTTAGGAAAAATCAGTATGTTTTATGCAGTAGAGATGCTAATGAATTAGACCTGCTAATTATTTGTGTGGAATGTGTCTAAGGAATTTCTAGGACGTGGTGGAAGTGTGTAAAGATTTCTGTCAGACGAAGAAAAGTGGATGCAGTTTGTGAACACCATTGGGGACCTCCTGGGAGACAGTGCTACTACTACTCAGTATGACTTGGAGCTGGCCTGCTGGTCAGCCTGGCACTTGCTGGAACGCTACCACTGGTCACCCGTTTCCACTAGGATTTCACTTTGCAGCGATGCTTTTAGTGCTGGGCTGATGGGTGTGAGCTTGTGCAGGGCTGCTTGGTTCTGGAGATCAAGAACCTGTCCACTTACCTGTTTCTTGCCTTTGATGTAACTTTAAACTGCTAGTATTGTCTGAGTAATATAACCACATTTTTTAGGTGTTTTACCTATTACAACATTGTCAAATATGTGTTATTCATATATATTTCACAGAACAGAGAACATGTCTAGCGATCTGAATTTGGTTCTATTTATAAGATCCTTTTCTTTTTAAATCTGCTTAAATTTGAAACATTCTATGGTCTGCATAAAAATCTGTCACCAAATGTAGAGTCCTGTTAGCTCTGTATTTTGTACATATTTTGCAAATGGTTTTGCAGGGAGATAACATATAATTGCAGTGTGGGGGCGGCAGTCGTTGACTCATCTGCTAATCTCTCACTGTATCTTATGCTTTTCCTGGAGAGGCCTCTGGGTATTAGTGAACGGTTCTGACAAATCCATGCCCACATGATTGCTCTTCCATTTGAGGTTTGGAAGGGTAGAGTGCTATGTGAAAAATTATTTGGAAAGTCAGTCTTGCTAGAGAGCCAATCTCCAGGGGTCTAATTAAGATTCTCCCCCTTAAATTTCTCTCCATAAGGTCTACAGTGAGGATTATAAAGTAGATTTAGCAGAAATGTTTAGTGGAGTAAATATCTTTGAAGCCTGAGTAATTTCACATTTAGTTTTTGATTTCCCCAACATACTTCTCAGCATTCATTGCCTTTTTTGCTTTAGATATATTCTTGGTTGCCTTGTTGTAAATTTCACCAGGCTATTCTGTCAACTGATTATAAGAGAATCTTGAACATCCCTCCTGTGGATTTGTGTAATAAATAAGCTTAGTTTTCTTGACTGATAGGTACCCATCAAGTTAATTATTGCTTGAGCACCAGTAAAATGTTGCAGCTTTTTGTTAATTTTTAAAACTAAAGTAATGTCTAAAAAAATGTGTGGCCAAAATATTTTTTTTAATTGTTCATAGAATTTTGTGTTGGCAGTGTTTAGTTTAGGCCGGTTTCCCTGCTACGTGTCTTGCAACTCTGTGTCACCTTCAGTTGAGAGTACTTTGGTTCCCATTCTGTGGGCTGTCTCCCTGCTCTTTTGATGGTTTCTTTTGCATTGCAGAAGCTCATTAATTTGTTGAGGTCCCACATGTCTATTTTATTTCTTACGGTATTGGTCTTTAGGGTTCTGAATAGGAATTGGTTCCCAGTTCCAATTTCCATAAGGCTGTCTCCTGCATTTTCTAAGATTCTTATAGTTTGAGGTTTTACGTTTAGGTCTTTGATCCATTTAGAGTTAATTTTTGTGGAACTCAAATCATTCTACCAAAAAGGTACCTGCACACGTATGTTTGTTGCAACTCTATTCACAATAGCAAAAACATGGAACCAACCGTGTTGCCCATTGAAGCTGGACTGGATAAAAAAATGTGGTACATATACACAATGGAATATCATGCAGCCACAAAGGACAAATATATGGATTTTGTAGCAACTCGGATGGATTTGGAGCCGATTATACTCAGTGATTTATCACAGAAGCAAAGAACAGAGTTCCATATGTTCTCACTCATAAACGAACCTTGAACAATTATAATGCTCTAAGAAAACAATTGACAGTAGTGGGAAACTGTCAGGGGTGGGGGGTGAGACAGGCAGCTAAGGGAAACTGCTAGGGGAGGGAGGGGCATACCTCATCAACAAGGGTACCTGCATGATCAATATTTATATACCTAACCCTGAAATGTGTACCCCACGTCTTTATAATAAAATTTTTTTAAAAAGAGAGTAGTTTGGTTCAGTTTTTGGCTATTAGTATATAAGGCAATTTAGTAATTTCCTTCTTCTGACTCCACGTATTTGGGGAGACCATGTTTTTCATTAAGAGCAAATTTCTAAACTTATTAGTGCTGCGTTATTCTAAGAATTCTGGTCCTGGTTTCAGGATTAAAATTTATGTTTCGATGAAAATACTTGGAATGGATTAATATAGAAGAACAACTGTTGCAACAAGATAAGTCACCATTCGTGAAGTAGGTTGGGGGGGTGAGGCCTACATTTTTCTTAAGAGAAAATGGCCATGTTCTCATTCTAGGGAATTGCTGGGGCTCTGTTCCTGAGTCACCATTCAGTGCCAGGCTCCCAGTTGTTCCTAGTTAGCCGGACACAACATGAGAGTGTTTTCTAGTGGGAACAGAAAGGAATCCCAATCTATGCTCACCTTACTGTTGACCTCAGTGAGGGACAATGCTTAGGGACCTTATGTCTGGTTTGGCAGAACTCTGAATATTTTAATGGTTGATTCAAATTTTAAAAAATAACCTTTTCTAACTTAAAACAAGATATGTTATGTGCGACC